GTAATCTTTGACACCGATTCTACAGATACATGCACATGAACAATGTACATCAATTCTGACTTCCCCTGCCAAATTGAACACGCTTTACAATTCACTGATAACATGACGCATGATGTGCAAGTACATGTACAGTGTACATGAATGTATCCATGTGAAAACCATATTGCTCCCTTCAACATTATTCAGAACCTAAAATTTGTTTGACATGTGCATAAACACGTACATGTACATGTAGGTTCGGGCACTGCTCAGACTCATGTTTTAATAAACTTGTGGAAAACTAGAATTGGCCACTGCCTGTGTATAGACAGTTGACTCCTCAAGCCCATGATTTGGATTTTATGTATAGGTTGGGAATCCATTCTGTTGATTTTTTCGGGCAGAGTCACCCGAGTCTTCATGCAAGAAAAATAACCCTCAAATCAGCGCTGAACTCCGACTCCTCGTTTTCCCTGACTTCTCGCTCCGATTTCTCTCACACAAAGTCCCCCCAATCACTGAGGTAACTCTTGTTCATGCTGTGTGCTGTACGTGTACGAGCATGCTCAATCACATCCTATCCAAAAACCACTTTTTCCTTTTATCATTATTTTGTTCTTCACATTGCTGTGGGGCTCCGGAGCTGGCCCCCTCGATCTCTCCTCAGCCACGACGTGCTTGTGGGAAGCACTAGCTCCCAAAGTAGGTCAAATCAATCCTAAAGATTCTTATCAAGTTGGGCAACACAATCATGTCCGCTTCAAGTTTCTTTAATTGCAGCACAAAGTATGGTTATGGGGATATCTTCCACTACAGGTACTCATGTGCAATGCAAATCGACGAAGATTTACACATATTCTTTTTACATGTACATGTATGTGCACAATTTGCTAAACCGTATAGGTATTGTTACAATACATGTATTACGCAGTGCATTTACATGTACATGTAACTTTCATATATGCACAAGTTGAAAGTACTGGAAGCCGTTCACATAATGTGTCTGTCAGCAATGTACATTTATTCACTTCGTACAGGTGTACATGTACACAGAAGAACACACATTTGGAAAGCCAGAAAAGAAAACAGGAGCAGGCAACTTTCAGGGAATTCAACTTTTATTCATCAGAATGTTCATGAGAATCTCTGTCCAGATTTGATGGGCATTAATGATACACATGTAAGTACAGACTTCAAAGAATAAACACATTCTGTACAAGTTCAGCAGATCATTCACGGGGAAGGTTTTCCAAGGAAGGGCAGCTCTGCTTTCTGCAGCCAAATGGGGAAGCTTCTTCCCGGAATGGCATCACAACAACAGTGCCCTCGGCTGCCCAGAAAAGCACAGACAATTTTGAACTCTCAAAATCGACACTTATGTGTACATTAACTCAGACAGGATGTCAAATTGTTTTCATCCAGTAGCAGTAGAAAAGATACACAGCATGTGTAATCTGAGAGAAATTCACCACACGGACCCTTTTGCTGGAAAACACTGATCACATTTTAATGAGCGGCAGCTATGTACAGCAGTTACACATATGCGCAAAACCTTTTTTTGCATGCTGGGAATTTAATCTGACATGTTCTGCAATGGACTAAAGCCTCTGGGCACTTTCCATGGGATTATGGTTGTCATTTTGCCAACAACAATTGCAGCTGGCAGGAAAAAAAATTCAATGGAAGGACAATGTAATCTTAATATTTGCATCCTGTCATGTTTCTACTGAGAGAGGAAAATGAAATTACCCATCGTACATGTATGCACTGTTACCAAGTGCATACTGATAAAATGCCAGTATGTCAGAAAACTCATGAAATAACCACTTTTTTTCTCAATCTGAAAATAGCTTGACATGTAAGACTTGGGCCATTTTCCAATACTCGACTTTGTCTCCGTCTCAGGCTTCATTCCCCAAACCAATCCCCGATTGTGGGCCTGAAATGTTTAAATTACATTAGATTACTGTAATTTTTGGCTTTCTTGCATCTTATTTGATGTTCTGTGGCACTATTAGACTGATTACTGCACTTACAGCTTCAAAGTCAGCTAGTAAAAAAATCAGTTGAAGCCTGAGACGGAGCCGAGGTTGAGTATTGGAAAACGGCCAAAATTGTTGGAAAACCCAACAATTTTTTCCAAATTGTGAATCTGTGGTATTTAGGCTCTTTATCATTCACACAATCAGTGAAAACTACTGGTGCCAATATACATGTACATGCATGTGATCAACATATATATGGTACATGTACATACATGTGACAAACACATATGGTACATGTACATGTACAATTTACCAGTACACTGTATTCACAGAAATGAGAATATGCTTTCATGCCGGTACAACCGTACTGTGCAGGTCTGGATGTATTCCAGTCGAACTTCATTAATAAGAGGCCCTTCAGACTTGGTAAATTACCTTGTTTTAACGGGAACCTTGTATTATCAGGAATGAAAACAATGATAAACAAAGGATTGGGACCTATGATTAACTTTGTTATAAGCAGACTCTTGTATTAACAATGCTCTTATTAATGAAGTTCAACTGTATACACATTTGTGACCGGCTCTAGAAAAATGGGTAATAAGTCGCCAGATTCAGGTCATCAGTTTTTGGTATGGCTGGATTGAGTACATCAAAAGCTACAATTTGATTTATGAATGACCCCTGCAGTGCACTGGGTTCCAGAGATATCTAGACATTTGTATATCCACATTTTCAGATTCAATGAAAGCACTTCTTGAGAAAAAGCTCAGAAAGTGTAGCACTTGGAAATACAATGCTATGTAGGATTTCCTACTGAACGATCAATTTTTCATCTTTATTCATCAGTATCCATGTTTGTAGTCACAAATTCTGAAAACATACATGTAAATGTTATACAAGCTGATAGAGGAAAAACACAAAATCACATTTTTGAAGACATTTTGCCCTCTCCAAATAGAACGGGGCATAACATACTTATACCCTTTTTGCAGAGGGGGTCACATTTTTGTGAGAACATGTACGTACATGTATGTACGTACTACATGTTTACCGGTACTGTACTGTGCAGTGCTGCATTACCGTAATGCACACGTACAATACATGTACCTGTGTGCACAGATGGAGGTGTAAACAAAGCCAATTATCAATCACTAATTACCCACTGAAACACCGAATATTTATAAACCAATTACAGCTTTATAATCCTGCTATTGTGGAGTGACAGATTCTCAATAGAGTTCCTCTGCATGCTGCCACTTTAATAGTCGTTGACAAGAAGAGAATCAATGTTTGTGATGTACAGTTCATTCGTTCCTTCAGTCTGGCAATTTTGTACCAGCAATCAAGTACACTGTGCGTGTTAGAAAAAGAATGCACTGGTGCATGTACGTATTGATCCTGTACGTGTAGGCACTATGCAAACTGTATGCAAGAAGTGCAGACGGTTATGTTCCCTTTGTGTAACTGGTAGTACAGTAGGTTTCCTTTTGCTCTTTCTACATTATATGGGTCTGTCTTTTTAAGGGGTCCAATGGGAACTATACTGGTACATGTAAAGCAACATACATGTACATGTATGTGTACATATACCATGACACTGACAGAGTTGTTGAGTGTAACTGCAAGGTCAAAGAGTCCAGTTTTTTCATTATGACTTTATCAAATTTGGTTATTACAGGACTTTTAGAAAATGTTATCCTTTTTTTATTTCAAATTTTGGGTTTTAGGACAAAAAGGGTTATAAACCAATCAGTTTGAGAAGGAAGGGAGACAAGTATACCAGTACCTACATGTACATGTAGAGTGTCATTTTGTTGGGTAAAAAAAGAATAGTTTTCATTCTAAATGGACTTAATGTAATATTGTTTTCCATTTAGAAATATGATACAAGCTCTATACTAACACTCTCCTTTTTTCAAGATGTATTTTTTTGCGTTGGGGAGATGTTAATTTATAATAAATATATGTTGGGTAAGGGCAAAACCTGTTACATAAATTAACACTCTCCTGTCAAACAGTCTGCAGGATAAGAGTATCACCCTGAAGCATTCCATATTCCCGTTTGTTATACATGTATGTGAAACCACAATGTGAGTTCTGCCACTAGCAAAGAACCAATCTCAACGTTCTCCACACGCCTAATATTTTAAGACAACACCATACAGTCAGAAAAGGTTGAATCAACCAGAACTTAGGCCACTGTTAGCTCTTCCTTTACAGTTGCGCACTGTGCCAGAGATTACGTGAGAGAACTGAGTGATGTCCTGGCCAAACTTTGTGCCTGAAGTGTTTCACCTTTCCTACACACAAAATAAAGCAGTGACATGCACTACTTGTTTGTGTAAATCTGTGTTGAGGGCTATGGAATGATTTGCAAAGGGGGGGAGGGGGCATTGGTGAGACCATCCTAAACCAGCTATTAAAAGACCTGCTAAAAGTTGCTGTTACCCACGAGTTGAAAAAAGCATCTCCTCCCCCTTCTGATGCTGGTACTTTGCAAATTAGCCAACTGCAGGGTAGGGAACAGCTTTCAAAGTTTGGCCCCGAGTGTGTCCCACTCCTTGAAAAAAAGAAAGACCCATTTGGGGTATAGAGTACAGAAGTGAATATGTTACAAGCACAATTATGTTTGAAAAAGGTCTTATTGTGAGAACCAGCACGTGAACCAACGCATGTGCGCATACTCCATTCCTTTGTATGGCATTTACTGGCTCTAAATGACATCACACTTCAGTTCTCTATACATGTACATGTACAGTATACACATAAGTAACACAGATTAAAAAAGAATAAGTTCAAAGACCATTTACACCAAAATCAAAAATCCAACACCAAAAATCAGAGTAAATGGTGACTGCATGGAACATCTACCAGTACGGTACATACAGTACTTCATCATTAGTTCAGGATTTTTCTTCCATGTCCACCGTCAGAATGCAAATTAAGCATACATGCACATGTACATGTGTGCCAGCATCATCTGTGCACACTGTGCTCCATGCATGTGCCTGAACCAGTTGAAATTCTTCTTACCATTTTGCATGTGAACCAACCTGCTCTTGGGAACTCAGTAGTATCTACTCTGATCCATAATAGGCATGCATCCCCTAGACAACAGAACCAATTAAAGGTAACTGATACGTCAAGTACCAGCACCGTCGACGTAGACTATGCTCATTCCCCACGTCCTGTTAACACACTGCCGTGAATGTAATCAGCATAAGGGGGCGTAGCACACGTGACAAGAATAATGGCCATGACTCTTTAGTTTCACCTGGCTGGTTATTAAAACTCCCCGCCAAATGGCACTGCTCAAATGTTTGGGGCTACAATGCTTTATGAAGGATGCAATGATGTCCTTTGGACTATCTGAAACATACATGTACATACACAGTATGTATGCACAAGTACTGTAGGAACTGTCATACAGTTTCTGACAGATCTGTGCATTTATAAAAAGCCAAAGCTTCAGATTTATTTTATTGAGTATTCGAGTACGGTAATTCTTCAGCCTTGCTCCGGGGAAGTGTACAACCAAAGGAATACTGTGAACATTAAAAGGAAAAAAAAGCACAGCACATGTTCACTCTTCATGTACCATTACCAGACCTGCCAACCTTGCTGTACTCCTTCCTGAGGCAGGCATTACCACACAATAGATTAAAAATTCAAATGAACTGAATGAACTCATTTACATGTAAATACCTTCTAATCTACTGTGTGGTAATGCCTGACTTAAGGAAGGAGTACGGCAAGGTTGGCAGGTCTGCAGTACACGCACCCACATAGTGTGCAAGAAAATTAAAATACACCTAATTTACAAGTAACATCAAAGAATAAGCATTAAAGTACATGTAAATTTTAACTTTCACAGTACATGTACGGTAGGTACTGTATTTTTTATATTGTACACTACACGTGTACTGAATCAGACTTTTCAATTTCCATCACAAAAGAGCATAAATTATGAGTGAACAATGTAGCAGTACATGTACAGTGTAGTACATGTACTTTTGGGCAGGGCCTAAGCTGCAGTTTGTAACTTTTGCCCATAGAGGCACATACACAGTTGTCCATGTACATTATACCGGTACATGTACCTTTATATGTACGTGTACATGTATGTACATGAATAGTATGTGGGCTACACTGTACTGGTACATCTACATGTACATTAACTGCAGCAAACAGACGCACAAGTTGGTTTTTTTAAAACATTCACTGTACATTTGTACTTTATAAACCCAAATTTAGAGGGAATACACACAAGCGTTAAAATTATTCTGATAAGTTATGGGACAAGTTCAGCCATACTTGAGTCACAGCTCCAAGTTCAAGCATAATGCCACATGTCATTGTGATTTAATAAGAAAAAAGAATATTGTGTCTGGCAAATGACCAACACTGCCTCCATGGCAAGAAACCTCTTCATCCTGTGTCATTAAAGGTTCACTCTTGAGATCTTTACTTACACTAAACGCTACCCTAACCTTGACAAAACATAACGGTAATGAACACAGCTTGGCAGATATGTGTATTACGGCATAATGACTAGCGCGGGACACGGCCTGATGAGACATTCCTTGACTCGGAGGGAAATACCGGGGCACTGGGGACAGACCTGTTTTCGTCATTCTCAGAGATTCATCCCTTAAACGATGACGCATTCATACCATCTTCTTCTTTTTCTCTAGCTCAGTCTCTCTCACCGTCTCATTCCCCTCCTCGCCCCAATCCTTTTTTCTGGTGCTGTGTAAACGAGACGCGGGATTGATCTGTGGCACGTTCAGCTGACTATATGGGAGGGCAAGACGGTGTGTGGCAATGTCCCATTGATCAGGGGGAAGAAATGTTAAAATGCCAGAGTGGGTTTGGGCTAGTAAATGATATGGAAGAATACACGCCAACAGCTAAGAAGTACCGTAATACTACTACCCTCCATGAGCACATTACATGTTCATGCACATGTATATGTACACGTACACCATGTACAGACATGTACTGGTACATCGGATTATCATATGTGCACGTACAATGTACACATGTACATGTACTTTTGTTGTTTTATAAGCAAATTTAATTTAAAATTCCTTTGAATTATGTGAATAGCTACAGGTGTGACTCCCACCTGTACATGAGCAAGCATACATGTATACAGTACATGTAATGCATGCCGTACATGTACTGTACCAATACATGTACATGTATGTGAACTCTGCTGACATGTTTCGTATGAGCGCATGCAAATGGTGCATGCATGAACGGATACAATGAATCCTATAATACACAGAGCTACCAGTATTCAAGTTCCAGACTTCAACTATAAATAAATGTAATGCACCTTTAAGTTATGAATTTAAACATACAGTAGACACTCTGTAATTTATGTACTTTGAGACACTTACATGTACATGCACACCCTAACCCTGTGTCAAAATTCAAAAATAGAATTCCAAGTTGTTTCACGTAGCATTTACCAGTATGTACATGTACATGTACAATGTACCTGTATACATTGTGGTCAAATTGTAACATGGTTAAAGAGCCCATCCTTTGTTAACAGCACATGCACTTGTACATTTATATACACGTACATGTAAGTGTTGCCTGTGTTACGGACCCATGCAACTTGTTCTACAAATCATTACAAGCCAGGAGAATGGCCCATTTCACCTCTAACAGTTCAATTTTGAATTCGGCTATCGTACGGTACATATACCGGTACATGTAAGATGCAAAGGCTAGAGAGTTTGTGGCTTCAGTGGAACTGCACCTACACATGTGCATGTGGCCTGTGTGCCAAGCCGAACAAACTAGATATTCAAGTCATGCCGAAGGTGTCGAACTGCCCATGACAGAGGCATTCGTGCGCAACAAACAACCTCAATATTTATGGAATTTTTCCCCTTATACATGTATATCTATACGGCCTCAGTTTCTCTGGTAATTGGACGCTTGGCAATTTGAAGATGTGTTTTCTAGGCCTGGTTTGAATATGTCAAGTTGAACCATGAATAATCCATGTTTTTGTTTTTTCTACATAAACCCACCTGAATTGTAAAATGCACAGTGAAGGAAAACGTACTACTGTATTTCTATGTGTTCCTATGTGCAATAGATGTTCGGTATTATACCAAAGTCAACTTCTCAGAATTATCAATATTCAATGCACAATTTGCCAGGATTTCACGGTACGTATTTTAACGTTTCCTTTTTGTTAGAAGTAGCAATGAGAAATAAGGACTAATTCCTTATGTGATGTTATTAATTAACAAAAAAAAAATGACATTCCAATCCTATTTATATAATTACCGGTACACTGCACATGCAAAATACAACAAAATGAAACCCTTTTTTCATTTTTGGCATAAGAAATACATGTACCATCCTAGTATCTATACATGTAAACATATACATGTTTCAAACATTTGGGCAAATTTGCCAAAGATGTGTACACAGATGAAGCTAGGACACAATAAAAGTCTCTTCCCTGGCACAAACATCCAAGCATGCCTTAGCAGCCCTGATGAGATAAGGTCGTACGTGTACAGTTGTCAGGTTTACTATTTCTCAACAACCATACATGTATTTGTCACTCAAGCTCCACGTGGTACTTAGTGTCTTGGGTAGCCACAAATCTGAAACGTGAGCCGCACTGAAGTACATCTTTGGGTAAATTCTGTTCATCAACGGGTAACTGCATAATTATCCTCAATTTGTTTCTTTCTAGCCCGCAGGCGCACATCTCTGCGAGAATCCCGCTTTAACGATTTGAGCAAACAGCTGGTGAAAAATGATCAGGGCACACTGATGGGTTTTTCTGAACAGATCGGTTCAGTTGCTGTTAGAAAAGCCATGATGACCCCAGTACACAACCTCGGGACAGCGAGCCTTCACGCAACCTTGGTGAACATCAATCGACTGTGACCACTAAAAAAAGAAAGAGGGTAGTTTTGGGCAAATTGTCAGCAACTGTACGAATGTATGTACAGGTTTACACGTACACAAGTGCACTGTGTCTGTTTATGACTACACTGCACCAAAAATGCATATACACTAGTGTAAACTTTTTTTCACCCCGTGCAAGCATGAGCAATATGCAGGAGTACAGTTAAAGTGCATCATGCCCCTTTTCTCAACTACATGTACCACCTACATGTACTGTAACATGTACATGCATGTACACAAGTACCTAGCACTTTGCATGTGAGCCCCTACTGATTACAGTGCCAAGTCCACTACATAGGCAATGTGCAATGTAGCAGTACATGTACATGTAGGCCTACTCTTCTTCAATTGGGAATGATGGATTGTACTATACATGTACATGTACTGGTGACATAGATTTACAATGTAGGTCTATACTGTAGGTATGGTGTACATGCACATATACATCACTAATAATTTTGATCCAGAAATACTGGTTTTTCTATTTTTATTATTCTTTAAACGTGACATTCCATTTCAACCAATACAAATGCAAAAAGTGAAAAAAAAACCGTAGGTTATCTTGTACATGTAGAAGCCAGGTTCATACTTGGAGTGAAAGCATATATGAATAAAATTATACACGTACTGGTACATGAATGATGTCGGATCAAATGTCCAAGCTGCTACAAAAACACCCTGTAGTAAGCCTTCAATTTCACAAAACAAAATCATCATAGACACGACGGCAAAAAACCTCTTGTTGAAAGCCAGTTTGATAAAACTTGGTTACAGTGACGCAACAAAGCTACATGTACGTACTGATACATGTACATGTACCCAGCATGAACATGTATACATATACATACGTTGCAGATGTCTTTTGGTACATAAACATGTACGTACATGTACCTGTCGAAGCACACTGAAAGCATTCATCTCTCTTTGACATAATTAATATAGGATGAACTAATGCATACGCCAATGGTTCATTACGAATCTCATAGAATGCTCACATCTAGCTGGGATGATTCAGGCAAGACCACATATCCGACTTGCTCATCAGACATGCATGCACACAGCATTGTTCCATGTCAAACTGGAAACAGTATGCACGTGTTGGTACCATCGGTACATGTAAACAGTCTACATGTACATGGCACACTGACGTGTACACATAAATCCTTGGGTGTTCTCATTAGCTGAATGTGCAGGTCGGTATCAACCTCCTCCAATCAATACACTGCGATGATTACTCATCCTGACTTTA